TCAGGGAGTTTTCTGTCTAGCCCACAGGCTGGCTGGGCGGTGACTGTATTTAACGGCAGATGTGAGGGCTTCAGGCAGTGGGGTTCATGTTCATTGTCCCTCTCTGGTTGCTTTATCAATGGTGAAAAGGACAAGATGTGGGAATTTTCATTGTGTTCACAAGACGAACGTAACATTTAATCGTTGTCTGCAGTCGGCAGCCCACATGCCACTGTGATGTGTGCCCTTGGAGTGTGCTTTGTCAGTCAGCTGTGTAGCATGGCTTCTGCAGTAAGAACTTGCTCAATAGGCTTCCTGGAAGTTGGCATTTCCAAGGAGCAGGCCTAGTGCAAGGCAGTAGATAATGGACCACCAGGTGTCTGCAGCCTGTTCACAGTGGCTAATGGTAAAGGTTGATTTTATGACAACTTCTGTGCTGTCTTTCTGCTGCCACTCTACACCGCACTAGCTCTTGTTCAGCATGTTCCTCTCTTGCCTGTCAAGGGAACCATAGTGTGCACAGCCACCTGTGTCCAACTGCACAAACGAGCAGAGAGAATTGCATCACTGCTGTGCGACAAGGGACATCTCAATGCAGGAGACAACGTGGTGCTGCTCTATCCTCCTGGTAAGGATGCTCTAGAACTGGCCAGAATCCCCACGTGGAAATGCAGTTTAGCCAGGACAAAACCTTAAATGCCAAGCTGTGTGTGGGCACCACCGTTCTCGGGGCTCTCTCCACGTGTTGTTTGAAAATATGCTTGTGACAACTGGATCCAGTCAACTTGAGGGTTGTCCTTTCACCGAGGAACCTCCAGGTCCTGACTCCCTGCCTAGGTGTTGCCAAGTACTGAGATACCACCCCTCTGGGTGCTGTGCACCCACTGGTGGCTGTACTGCATCCCTGAGTACTGTCACGGAAGCTGGCAGGATGGCTGGCTGGACTGTGCTTGCTGCCACCACCTTTGTGACTGAACAGGAAGTGGGAGCTCCCCTGGGGACCCTGTTCTCAGTGGCTACTCTGTGGTCGAGGGCACAGAATACTGTTTGTTTGCCCCTTGTGGCTGGTAATTCACAGCTGCCTGTTACTGAGGAGCACGTGTTCCACACAGATGAAAGGGGCTGTCCCCTTGACCTGACTGTTTCTCTTCACACTGCTGGGAGCTCTTTGTGGGCTGGCTTCTGCCTCTGCCTGTTTGACTCAGTGGACATTGTTCCATGCAGTGCCCAATTCCACTTGATTCTTTATTCCAGTGGTGCCCAACCTTTTCCCCCAGCAGGCTGGATGGGCAATTCCTGATCTGGCTGACGGTCCCAATCCGATGCCCAGAGAGGGTGGGGGGCAGCTCAGCTCCAGTCCAGGCATGTGGGGAGGAGAGTAGGGGTGGCTCCAAACCAGCCCAGTGGCAGGAAGGGAAGGAGGGGAAGTGGCTCAGCCCTTAACCAGCTGCACTGGGGGGTGGGAGCATGGTCTGGCCCCATATTGGCTGTACAGGGAGAGAGGGGGGGTGCAGCCTGGCTCTGAACCAGCTGTGCAGGTTGCTTGGAAATTTAGCAGCGGGAGGTGACAGTATTTCCACTGCTCCTCCACCACCAAAATTCCCAACCCATGGGCTGTCCTGCAGGCCAGATGCCATGGCCCTGGTTCTTCTCTGTGGGCATTGTTTCTTTCTTTCTTGGTCCCTCCTCACCTTCTCTGTACTGTTCACAACTGTGTTTGTGGACTCTGGGGCTGCAGACAGGGTTGGGAGGTGTGTGCAGCACACACCGTTAAGAACTGTAACTGCAATTCTGGGGGAGAGGTTAGTGTCACAGCAGCATCCACCAGCACTTGTGTCCTTGCAGGCATTGAGCTGATTGCTGCCTTCTATGGCTGTTTGTACACTGGGTGTGTTCCTGTGACCGTTCGACCACCTCATGCTCAGAACCTCGCTGCCACTCTGCCCACTGTGCGAATGATCGTAGAAGTGAGTACTGGAGATTGGAGCCCAGGGTCCAGCACAGGGCAGCAAGAGAATAAGCCCTCCTGGCTGTTTAAAGATCCAGTGCTGCTGTCCTTGGCTGCGTGTATTAGACAGTCCTGCCTCTCCCTCTTACGGGGTGATGCAGGCAGAACATGCAGTAGCGAGAGGGAGTAACATCATGACTTGCCTCATGTTACTGCCCGTTGACTCCTGTCAGCACTACACCTGAATGGGAGGCAGGCAGGTGCCACCTCCATGATGTTCCCTTGTAGTGACAGCAGCTAGCTGAGGTTGATTCTGTATTCTCACGTGGCTGTGGAAGAAAAGCTCTGGGCAAAATGCAGCCATGCATAACATGCTTCCCAGACGGTCTGGAAGTCTTACCAAGGTCATGTGTATTGTAGTCCAAGTCTGGGGGGTCTTGACTCAGCAGTGTTGTGTGGGGGAAGCCAAGAAAGGTAGTGAGAGACCAGAGGGGGACTGGCTGTGAAAAGGCATCAGCTGAACATCACTAGGACCTTCAGTTATGGAGATTGAAAGCCATGCTTGTTACACCTTCAGCAAATATTTATCTCTTTCTGTAGGTCAGCAAAGCTGCCTGCATTCTCACGACTCAAACATTAATGAGACTGCTGAAGTCCAGAGAGGCAGCTGCTGCTGTGGATGTGAAAACCTGGCCAACCATCATTGACACAGGTGACAGCTTCTCTGTGCCACATCTCTTGGATCAAAGAGTTTCAAAGCCCTGTAAAGGGAGTTTCGGTGACTCAGGGGGACACTGCCAGCTCAGATGCTACATGGTAACTGTTTGGGGAGGTGGGGAAGCATTTGAATATTGAGAGAGAATATCCTAGAGAAAGACCATAGTTTGACTGCACAATCTGTGATCTTTGTATCCACAAAAAGTAGCGTACGCAGGGGCTCCGTTTGGAGAAGTGTGGCATTTTTTACGTGACCCACGCTGGCATGGGGTAGTGAAAGGGAAACAAGAAGGCCTAGAAGCAGTTCAGTGCTAAGAGCCCTGTAACTACTTGTTCCTTCCAAACAGAGAGAGCTTTTCAAAACCACTGACCAATTAGAAGGGAAAAATCTGCTAAATCAGATACTGGGGAGAACTACAGCTACAAAGTATGCGCTCATGTGCCTTGTGCTCATGCAGCTCTGCCTTTTGTTGTCAGGAAGGAAAGACAGGAAAAGGAAGTTGTTCTTTGTAGCCTCTTTGGCCTGTAATTACTGAATGTTTCTGAATTTGAGCGAAGAACAGTAAATACAAGGCTGGGATGATTTTTTTTCTGTAACCTGAGCCAAGTCTGGCACTTTGAGTTCTAATCCCTTGTTCTGCAGCTGCTGAGCTTCATGTGGAACATAGCACTTGGGTAAAATTAAATGTGTTTGATGTCAGTGGCCTCAGACTATGCTTCCATGTCACAGTCAGTCCTGCCTGGCCCCCCATCTGGCGTGCTCTGCAGAGAGGACAGGGATGAAATGACCCAGCAGAATTGTAAAGTCTCAGTTATGTTCAAGTGTTTGATTAAGTGCTTCACACACCTGTCACATCTCTCCCTGCTGAGTCTCAGGCCAGGCACACTGACTCACATAAAAGGAAATTCTCACCTTTGTGCCTGAGAACAGTTTTCGTTACGAGAAAGCTTTGGCACAGTGACAGTCTCTCCTGTCCCATAGCCAGCCACCAGGATGGCTCACTCCTGTTCTGCTCCTCACCCCCTTTGGAAGTTCCAGCATCCCCAAGAATCCCAATTCAACCCAGGCCTAAGCTCCATCTTTGTTTCTTACTCACACAGATGACTTGCCCAGGAAGCGGCTACCTCAGATCTATAAACCACCCACACCAGAAATGCTGGCATACCTGGATTTTAGCGTGTCCACAACAGGCATGCTCACAGGGGTGAAGGTATAGTAACACCATGCCGGAGCCTTTTCTTTTTCTGACTCTGCAGGATAAGAGGGAAGAACTGGGATGGTTGTTTTTTTCAGATTTAATTTGAAAGTTTGCCATACTCCCCCCCCCTCCCCCCGGACAAATTGGGGTGAATAAAGTATGTGCTCATGAAGCAGCTCTATCTTGTGCTGCCTTAAAGGAAAACTGGGCTCAGAAGTGTTTTCAAGGATTCCTGTTGTCTGGGTTGGTAGAGAACCCATTTGTGGACAACAGGGAATGCTACTGGGAATACTGTGCAGTGCTTACTAACGAGCCATTGTAATCACACTCGCTGTACTGCACTGAGGCGAATAGCGCTGGGGATTGACTGCAGAGAGCTTAGATGCACACTGTATTTACACCAGTGGAACGAGTCTTCACATCAGTGTAAAACAGTAGCAGACAAATGGTACTCGGCACTATCTTGGTGTAACTTATTTGAATCTGATGTAAATTCTTATTTGAATCATAGTACCCTAAGAAAAATCACAGGTAAAACTATACGGGTGTGCGTTAAACAAGTGTAGGTGTTGTGTGCTTGCAGCTTCACCCAAGGTGGCTGTTTGCTCGTGGCAAACAGGCTACATTGTTCTCCCATCACCTGGTAGAGTGCTACTCCACTAGCAGCATCCCGCATGCAGCTAGCCCAGGAGAGCTGCTTGTCTGTCCGTTCTGGAGCCTGGTGTTGTTTACATCAGTGTACAAAACACAGATACATCTACACCAGTGTAAACGCATCATGCGTTCAGGTTCAGAGAGGAGGAAACAGAAGCAGAAGTCAAGGCCCGAGGCTCTGCTAGGGGCTGCTGAGTACAGTTAGCTGCTGTGGGATGCGTAGATTAAGAAACAACCTTTTATGAAAACTGCCTAGGACAATGCCTCTCCTTTTACAGCAGACACTTTCATGACATCTTTTTGATACAGAACTGAGCTGAGGAGGGGGACTTTCACAGCGCTCTGTTTGCCATGCAAGATAAGGCTGGCAGTAGTTTAATTTTGAAGAGTGGCACTGTTAGGAAATCAAGCTTAAATCTAACTTTACATAGCATCTGTACTGGGGGAGTCCTGCTCTGACGGCCTTGGATTTCAACACCCTGCCCTTCCTCCCCGTCTTCTGTTACAGATGTCCCACTCGGCAGTGAGTGCCCTTTGCAGGGCAATAAAGCTCCAGTGTGAGCTCTACTCCTCTCGGCAGATTGCCATTTGCCTGGATCCATACTGTGGGCTCGGCTTTGTGCTCTGGTGCCTTTGCAGGTATGTCTTGGAGTAGAGACACGAGGCTAAGATTACTGCCTGGTCTTAAAACAGGAAGTGGAGGGCCCTCCCCTCAGCTGGTGCAGGGCAACACAGCTGGGTTGACTGGGAGCTGAATGGTTTTGGATTACACCAGCTGAATATGAGCTCTGGACAGCAGTCCCCCTTGCCTGCTGGGTTGCAAGGTTCACTCTAGCCTGCTTCTCTGTCACGCGTAGCTGTCTGATCTCCCATGTTTATTTTATACGATATTCCAACAGAACCTATTTCTGGGAGCATATTGCGGAGCATGGCCTCCTTCACCTTGACTGTGGGAGTGTGTGCACTGCTTGTCTGGTTTGATATCCAGATTGTAGCTGGATTGGTGTAGAGGCAATATTAGTAATACAGTGTTGCTGCAGGAGATGGGCAGCAAAGCCATCATCTGCTGGTCTCAGACAGAATCTCAGGACCTGATTTTGGTGTTGCAGATGCATGATGTTGCTAACACACAAAATACTGTAACAATTCTTTTAAGGCTAAGACTTCCTAGACTAAAACCTTAATTTTTCTGGTCTCTTGGCAGTGTGTACTCTGGTCACCAGACCATCTTAATTCCTCCTATGGAGTTGGAATCCAATCTGTTCCTCTGGCTCTCCACTGTCAGTCAGTACAAAATCAGGGACACTTTCTGTTCCTATTCAGTCATGGAGTTGTGCACAAAGGGACTTGGGAATCAGGTCGAAATGTTAAAGGTAAGAGGCTTTCTCTGGGTCTTACACTTATTCTGAAAGTTGATGCTCACTCTCCTGCTAAAGGCAAAGGAGATGTGACCATTACACGTATAGGTTTTGATAGCAAAAACCCCAGGAGGGTATCAGCCACATGTGGCACAGATGCTCTGTTACGTGATCTTATTATGCACCAGGGCTGTGGATCAGACTTTCTGGCCCGCCTTTAAAGCAGAAGCACCATCCCTATTGGAGGCTTTGGTTGTAGCTGTGTTGGTCTAAGGACATGGCAGACATAGTTCTTTGGGTAAATGTGATATCCTTTATTAATTTTTGTAATATTGGCTTCTAACCCATCCAGGAGAGCACACACAACTGCAAACTGTCCCTCTCCCTGAAGAAGGGTGTTTGTACCTGAAAGCTTGCAAAGAACATTTTTTCCAACTTGTTAAGTTGGTATAATAAAAGATATCACATATCCCCATTGGATTGCATAAAAGATAAAAAGCAAAAGGTTCAGGGAACTTTTGTATCTATTTTCCCTAAAATGGGCTTTGTGCTGTGAGTACACATTGAGAGCTCAGCGTTGCTGTGTTGGTGATACAGAATTTTGAAGGTTTCCTTGCATTGTCATACAAGCTATTGCTCAGATCTGAAATACATGATACTTCACCCTTAATTATAGGATCAGAATGTCTAGTGCTCAGAACAGATCATTGCAAGTTCTGGTCCAAATTTTGGTGTAACTGTGATCTTCAGCAAGTCCACTTTCCCTTGCTAGCTTCAGTTTCTTCCACTTCATTTTCCATGATATAGCATAAAGAAGTGAAGGGCACTGTGCTCCTTATAATAGCAAGCTGTGTTGACAGTGTCATAGTTCTAGTCGTTATTTTGGAACTTCTTAAAACTTGCATGTCATAGCTTACAAAGGGAAGCAAGTAGGGAAACTAAATGTGCACATGGGGTGTCCCTGGCAGCTGGAATAGAAGCGTCCATTCTTCTGAACGTGAAGCAGGAGGGTAGACAGTCTTCTAGAACAATGTGTCTGGCTGCATTGTCAGAAGCAGAGCAGCAGTCTGTTACTTGCATGCCTCTGTCTTCAGGCAAGAGGAATTCATCTGTCCTGTGTCCGGACCTGTGTGGTGGTTGCAGAGGAGCGGCCACGAGTCTGTCTGACCCAGTCCTTCTCCAAGCTCTTCAAAGACATTGGCCTGTCTTCACGTGCTGTCAGCACCACCTTTGGGTCGAGAGTCAATGTAGCCATCTGTTTACAGGTATGCTAGGGTGCTTTCTGGGAGAACAAGCATTGTGAATAGCAGCAGGTTTCCAGGCCCCATTGCATTCTGAGTTTTTAAACTTCATGGCTACCAGACACTGTCTGATTATTAGTTTAACTCAAAATTCTGCTCTTTGGAGGACTAGCCAGTGTGTAGAGAACAGCTGGGCATAGTATTCTGCAGCTCCTTCATGTTCTTGGCCATCAGATCACATTGCAGAAATAAGAGACAGCTGAAATACTTCCCGGGGTTCATATTTCTGTGTAAGTCTGCTTCTCTGGTGGCAGCCAGCGGGAGGCTGGTCACTGAGGCAGACATTCTCAAGGAGCAGATTGTTCCGAGGTGACATCCATTCTGGCCCGGTTTTCACACTTCTCAGCATTGCAGCTTTGCAGGTAGGAGTGATCATTGCAGCCAGGTGCTGCTCGCCTGCCTGCATAAGTGCTCCCCCAGTGTCAGCATGGGACTTATGCAGACACTGACTGTGCCTGCCCTGTGGCTGTGTCCTTGAGCCCCACACTCCTTAGCTTGGAAGTGAGACTAGGAACAGGCTGAAGATAATCTTCTAAGTGTCTTGTTTTCATAAGGTAAATTTATTAGAACAGCTCCCAGTTGAGCAAGAGATAGGGAGGCTCAGCTGTAGGTGAGAATCAGGGGGGCCTCACATGCCCTAGTTCTGCTAACCAAACAGCTGTTCAAGGACTGGTTCCCCTCCCCTAATGCCTCTTGGTTGGAGCAGGTGTCGCAGAAATAGTGCTTTGTGTCCTCTTTGTGCTGTAAATTGTGCTGCTGTTTGCTCTTTTCTGAATTTTTGATACTTTACATTAATTACTGTATCATTCTGATTAGAAATATAAAAACTTTTTTCAATGTTAACCCTTTAGGGAACCTCTGGGCCTGACCCCACCACAGTGTATGTAGACCTGAAATCATTAAGGCATGACAGGTACAGTATGTTTACATTGCATTCAATTAATAATCCACTATATAATGTACTGGATAGTACTGTATTGGAACAGATTCCTCTTGCTAGATGAGTTTGTAGGTTTTTGCTTTTCTTGATTTTTTTTTTTTTTTTTTTTTTTCTTCAGAGTGCGATTAGTAGAGAGGGGAGCTCCACAAAGCTTGCTGCTTTCAGAGTCCGGGAAGGTAATTTTGCATGGATTTCCTAATAGCTTGGCATGTAGAATATCTGACCATATGGCTGCATGCATATCTCCTTCAGAATGTTTTACATGTGCACTTGCCGTTCAGAAAGGCAGCTGTATTCATCATATGCTATGGCATGGGAGTGGCGAGCCTTCCACTAACTTTCCAGTGCAGTAGTACCCATTTATGATGAATTTTTTTCTGACTTGTAACAGTATGCTCTGCTGGACCTGGAACTAGTTGTTTCCATGGTGCAGTGTACTAAAACTTTTTTTGTGGGGGGTTCAGTGTTCTCTTTTCTGGAGGCTGCCATGCATTGGGGATGGACCATAGCTGTCCCTGTTAGTTCATTTAAGCAAAGCAAAATATTTCCAAGTGTTCTGGACAGAGTTCATTATTTAAACTCTCAAATTCTATGATGGCCAGAACTGATGGTGCTAGAATGCCTTGTCCATCTCAGCTTGCGTCATTAACATATTCTTGCTAATATATGAATCTGTATGTCAGGGTTTTTATACATGCTGTATAGATACATGTGCACAAGTACACACACGAACGTGGAGGCATGTGTAACTTCTATAGGTGAAAGCTATGCCATAAAAGTCAGAGGTGAATGAGGAACTTTTGTATTTTGCATACTTGCATGCAGCTGGTCCGTGCAGAAATACCCACATTCCTTTGTTGTTCCTTAGATTTTACCTGGAGTCAAAGTGGTCATAGTCAATCCTGAGACCAAAGGGCCTGTTGGAGATTCTCATCTTGGAGAGGTAAGTGCTGATTTAATTGTTATTGACAGTTTGTCTGCTGCTCACTGGCTGAGCTGTTTTATCTCTATCTCTGTAGCTTTATTTGCTCTGTTACTTGATTTGTTAAGCTGCTGGCCAACAGAATGAACCTGATCAGGCTTTATTATTAATGCTGCTGTGCAGTTCATAGATGTTAGGGCTGAAAGGGACCTCAGTAGATCATTGAGTCCGACCCCCTGCATAGGTAGGAAAGAGGGCTGGGTTCAGATGACCCCAGCCAGATGCCCATCTAACCTCCTCTTGAAGACCCTCAGTTGTTGAAGTGCTCAGAGCATTTTTCTGAGTGATGCTTTTCATGTCAAACCTAGAGAAAGAGAAATCGTTTTAGAACTGAAAGGCTCACTGTAGCAGATGTCACTTTGCTTTGGGGACCATTTTCTCAGGCTGGGTTTCCAAACCCTCAGTCTAGTTTGCAATTATTCTGATTGCTTTGATTACACTTAAGTATATTTCATCATAGTTAAACTTGCTCTGATAGGAACTGTTGGGGTTGCAGGCAGTAAGGCCTTGCAGCCAGTTCATCCACTTACTCGTGCAGGTACAGGGGACAGGCAGCTGCCAGGGGCATTTTGAGACTGCAAGATAGATTTGGCCCTTGGGTGGCACTTCTGGAATCCTGAACCAAGGAAATCTTAGTTGCAAAGAGAACTTCTTATTACAGTTCAATCCCTCAATGATTTCCTTGGGAAACACGGTGCTTTTAATCCTCTTATTCAAAGAGTGCCCTACTTCCACCGGGCACAGGTTTCAGTATTGTATTATTTCCTTTAGATTTGGGTGAATAGTCCGCATACAGCCAGTGGCTACTACACCATCTACGATAACGAAACCCTCCCAGCTGATCATTTCAACACTCGCTTGAGCTTTGGTGATGCTGCTCAGACACTTTGGGCTCGAACTGGATACCTTGGCTTTGTTCGCCGGACGGAGCTCACAGCTGCCAGTGGAGGTTTGACAAAAATAAATCTTTTTTACCATTTAAGCAAAGATGGAGAATCTGCCACTGTTTCTGGTGATAATGTGTGACTGCCTCAGGTCTCCATGGTGTATTCTCCAAAGGAGTAATCAGTTCTTCCTTCTCTAATACCAGCTTTCCAAGCCCCAGCTATAGCCATCTGGCACTCTGTAGTCTCCTCCTGGCTGGAACAAAACAGTTCCTCAAATGAACGTGTGCTTTATTCCTCTACCCCTTGTGTTCTGTTTCTGACTTGTCTCTGGCCAAATGGAGGAACTGAGGTCTGTTAACTGCTTCTGGTCAGAGAACAGGGGCCATAGTAGAGGCATGTAGCAAACTCTCCACCCACCAGCTCCTGGGAATGAAACGCATCTAGCCTGCGATTTCAAACCACAGGTAATTCCAGGCAGCATGTTTCTGGGATGGAGAAAGGCAAGCTGCTTCCTGGCACTGCTCTGGCTAAGAACGTGTGATTTTTGAATTCAGCTCGTGTCTGAGTGGGACATTTGGAATGTTTTGCTAGCCCTTTATTTCAGGCTGTTTTTATCCTTGTAATTTTACTCTAGAATAATTCATGTTGTCCAGAAGACAGATAGCAAAAGGGGTTTTCCAGCATGGCTCTAAGCAGACTCTTCAAATGGAAACCCAGCTTATGTTGGCAAAGCATTTTGTGGCCAGTGCAGTTTACACAAGTGCCGTGGATAAAATAATTATGCTGGCAAAATATAACTGCTAATGCAGCCATGTGTACGTTAAAGCCCTGTGTCAGCCATAACTACTGCTGTTATACCAACAGGAGTTTCTAATGCAGACCTGAGCTTTACCAAAGCTGTTGTAATCCTGCAACCTGATTGGCTCCCATAGGGAACACTAAGGCCACAGTTTATTAATATCTTATCCATTTGAAAGTTGGTATTAGACCCTCACCTACAGTTATTATTAAACTCCTATATAAGACCTGTTATTCCTGTCTGTATTTGAATCTGATTGTAACTGTAAAGCAAACGGTATGAGTTTAGGAGTGTGCTATGCTTGCAGTGGTTATAACAGTGCTGCTACTACTTTTACACATGCCTGTAGGAATATATGACCTGAAACCTGGGTTCCATATAGGGTTTTAGAGCTTTGTGGTATTTGGACTATAGTTGATAGATATTAAAGCAGTGAGGTATGGACAGAAAAATATATAAAGCATTTCAAATTCTGCCATTTGGAAACATTTTTCATTTGCAGTATATCAGCTGCATACAAAGAAAACTGCCTCCCAGCTAAAGTGTCACTGTAACACATTTTGGTTATCCTTGTTTCATCAAGAGTAATTTCTGATGGGAGTTCAAACAGATATGTTGCACTGTACCACTGTCATCTGTCTGCTCAATTTTTGCTGCACTTTAGAGTTGTTCAAAGTGCTATAAATTTTAAATCTGTCCTGAAGAATTGAATATTTATGTTCTTAAATGTTGCTTTTTCATATCTAAAGACAGTAATAAATCTCTATATATAGTATCCCAGAATAAAGTCACTTACCAGCACATTGATCATAGCAAGACAAGTGAAAACAGCATTTTCTGTGTTTTGAGAGGATGATGAGCTCTATTATGTCTAAATATCTGTCCTGTTTAAATGCTTCAAGTAAAAGCAAGTATGAATAATTGTGTGGACACAAATGAGGTGGTACTGATTGGTATAAAGTGTAGTGCAGTCAGGTACTTTGCTGGGGATAGCCTGTAATATCCATTGTCCAGTGCCTTGTCCCCTAGAGAAAATATTGCCATTAGTGCCCAGGATTTAAATAAATGTCCAGGAGGGACTAGGGTATAAACATTCATAACCCAGGTGTCTGGGTATAAAAGGACTGGCCTGCGCATGTTTGCCTATGTCAGTACTTATTTTCTCTGTTCCCCTATTTTAAATTATGTTTGTGTCTAAGTTTTTGTTTCTTCCCTCAGAGCGCCATGATGCACTGTATGTTGTAGGAGCTCTGGATGAAACTTTGGAGCTGAGAGGACTGCGTTATCATCCAATTGATATAGAGACCTCAGTTTCGCGAACACACAGGAGCATTGCTGAATGGTAAACTAGAATACAAAGGAATGCACGTATCCCCAGTTAGCTGGGAGTTTAGAGATCGCATGAGGTAGCACGAAAAACACAAGGATAAGTCAGATGAGCTCTGTTCCCAGATATACTTTGTGGCCACTGGCAAGTCACATAACCACTCTGTGCCTCAGTTTTTCCATTTGCATACTAGGGGTAATACTCAGCTGAGGCTTCGTTTGTGACGAGCCTTAACAAAAGATGACAGAATATAAACTTCATTCTCTGTCTTGGCGCATAAAGAACAGTTCTCTGTTCTTACACCTGTAAGTGAAAGAAACATTTAGCCTGCACGTCAGACTTCCTGGTTACTAGTGTTTAGGATTTGCCCTGGTCTTTGTTCTTCTCACTTATTTGAGGGGCTCCTCTATCCTGGGATGGACGGCTAAACGATTGGAAGGGGATCTAGAAATTCTTATCCAAAATAATAGCTCAGAATCCCCAAAACAAAACTGTTCTTGAACTTTAAGATGCGCAAACAATGGAATCGTCTAGAACGTGTAGAGAGAAAGATGAGAACCGTTGTAGAAAGGACTAGCTAGGATTCTTGTGTGAAGTCAAAACTGTTTTACAGGTTCCCTCAATTTATGCTGGTTCTTTATATGCAAATTTGCTCTTATGCGATGAGCATATTTAGACCCATAATTCGTTATATGTGAGGTAAATTCGCTCTTATGCGATCAACATACCTTCCCCCCCC